GCATTTTGGATCGCAATTTTACAAGCTTCAAATGCCTTCGTGGCTTCATCGTTCCATTCGATTGACGTTTTATCTTTTTTCTTCGTGTTGTGAAGGTAGGCGTGAAGTGGTGCTTGGATTTCAGCGGCTTTAGGTATGTGTTCTCTGTAAAAATTTATCATCCCAAGAAAACGCCTTAGCTCTTCGATAGTTTTAGGTTTTGTATAATCGATGATTGCTCTGACTTTTTCGGCAGGCGGTTTTATTCCTTCCTTGCTGACGGTGAAACCAAGAAATTGAACTTCTTGCTGTCCAAATATGCATTTCGAAGGGTTGATTGTGATTCCGTTGTCTTCTAATCGCTGTAGCACGGTGCGTAGATGGGTTTCGTGCGTTTCTTTATCAGGGCTTGCAACAAGGAGATCATCAATAAATGCGAAAACGAAATCCAGTCCATGAAGTACTTCGTGTATGAATCTTTGGAAAGTTTGACCTCCGTTCTTTAATCCTGGGATCATTCTTGGGAATTCGAATAATCCCATTGGGGTAATTATTGCTGTCTTCTCTGTGTCTTCATCGCGGACTCTTATTTGTTGGTAAGCTCGGTTGAGATCGATGGTGGAGAATATAGTCTTGTCTGATAGTTGATGAGTGAAATCCCTGACTCGCGGTATTGGGTAGCGGTCAGGAGTGGTAATAGAATTCAGTCTTCTGTAATCTCCACAAACTCGTAATTCTCCGTTCTTCTTCGGTACAATGTGAAGTGGTGATGACCAAGGGCTTTTGCTTGGACGGCATATTCCTTGCTCAATCATGTTTTCGAATTCCTTTCGAACTTGCTCGTATAGGTGTGGTGCGATTGGACGTGCACGACAATGAAGTGGTGGTCCATTGGTGTCGATGAAATGCTCAACGTCGTTCTTCGGTGTTAATTTCATTGAAGTTATTCTTGTGATACCAGGGTATTCTTCGAGGATCTTGTGATACGGTTGTTGCACATCTATGCTTCTTATTGTGGGCAGATTGGTTGCTTGTACAAAAGACTGAGATGCAAGATTGGTTTTCCCGTCGATGATTCTTCTATTTTTGATGTCGACGACCAACTGGTGATGTTGAAGAAAATCAGCACCGATGATTGGTTTGCTGACTTTAGCGACGATAAATCTCCATTTGAATGGTCGGCGTAGATTAAAATCAAGTTCCATTGTTTTTTCTCCATATGTAGGAATAACCGTATTGTTTGCTGCATAGAGTTGAAAATCTAGTGGCTTCAACTTCTGTCCTTGCTTCGGCGGTAACACTGGGATATTTGCTCCGGTGTCGATAAGGAAAGTAAGCTTGCTTTTTTTATCGGTGACGAAAAGACGGTAGGACTTTGCTGTTACGCTGGATCCCGTCGCATCGAGCGTACTAGTTAGTTTTCCGTATTCGTATTTTCATTTTTGAATGTACACGGTGCTGTGCATTTTCTTGCCTCGACCCCGAAACGTCGATGATAGTAGCAGTAAGGGGATCTTGATGTTGAGCTTATTCGACTTCTACTTGCAGAGCGGTTGCGACGAAAAGGTGATCTTCGGTGTTGCTGATTGCGCTGGTTGTACTGTTGCTGGTAAAAGGTATGATGCTGGGAAGCTTTGAGCGCGGCGACTTCGAATGATAGCTTCCGAATTTCTTCGAGAAGAAACTGGGTATCATTGGCCTTTGTTGAAGTGCCTTCGATGATCGATATGTGTGAGCTACTGCTGTTTTCGATCATCTTGTCCGCCAGGAGTGCCAGTTCGTCGAGCTTCGTCTGCGTGCTGAATGTTTCGCTGACTGCTATTACCGATCGAATATGTGGTGGTAGGTGGTTTACCCACATTAGCCGTAGTGTTGAATCCGGAACTTTATCTCGCGCCAAAGTACGCATTTTGCGTAGGAGTTGTGTGGGTTTCTGGTCTCCAAGTTCTATTTCTGATAGAAGTTTTTGTAGCTGTCGACTGTCGGATTCTTCATATGCGGAGATCAGACGATCCTTCAGTGAATTATACTGGTCGACTGCTGGTGGGTTGTACAACAGGTCCGCAATTTGTTCGATGTCTTGTTTCTCAAGTTGGGCTATCACCATCTGTGCTAATTGCGCTTGGCTCTTCTTTAAACCATTCGTTGCGGCTTCAAAACTGACGAACCAAAGTCGTGGTTTGTCTCTCCAAAACGGTGGTATTCTTAACGATAGAGATATACCGGCGATTTCTGGTTCCTTTACCGGGTTTGATGTATATGTGTTTGCCTCCTGCTCCATAATGACGGCTTGATTACACTGATTTTATATAAACTGAAGTCTTCCTTCTCGGTGTTCGTACGGGTTTCCTTCGCGGTGTTCGTGCAATAGTAGTGGTACGTCGCAGGGTGTTCCTTCTTGGTGTTCGTACCGGATCTTCCCCCTCGGTGTTCGTTCGGGGTCACCACCGTAATAGTGGAGACGAACTGTCCACTATTAACAGACTCCGAGTGGTTTTCTTTAAGGGGAGAAATGAAACTACTGGTTATAAGCAAAGCGGAGTATGAATTTAGACTGTACTGTCGAATGGGATTCGGAATGGAATATATTTTGCATCAACCTTGCCTATATTTATATGGCTGGCTCACTATTGATTTGCCAATGGTAACAATTAATATTTTGCCTAGCCAATTATATTGCTTATTTTATGACCAATGAAAACTATTTAAAATATACAATTATCTACGTTTCGTTTCCCGGCGTGAGACTTGTTTGTTGTTCACGAAGCTACGTCGCTGGACCGGGCTATATAAGACATGCAGATCGGTGCGCACGCGTAGTCGGCGGGCGGCGGCGGTGTGGAATACAGCTCCGGAACAGCAAGAGGAAACGAACTGCGGCGTTGAAGAAACGGCTCACCATTGGTCGACGGATACGTGACGATAGCGGCGTGTGAAGTCGGTGTGGCGCTGAATGATATTTGCGGCTGCTTCTTGTTTCTTTATAAGAACGTCAAATTATCTATACACAGTCCGCAGTATCTCAGTAGCCAAGAATAATTAGGAAATAAAATGGTTTTTTTTTATTTATTCTCGCCTTCCGCGTTATGGTAGCAGCGGAGTATATATTATTTATTCCCGTTTCGGTTTGATTAATCTGGCTGCTACATAAATATAATTCATTACAGCCATTTTTCGCGCAAACTCAGAGAGGTGCGATTTTTGTGACGCTGAGTGTATCTTTTTCTCAGTTTTATTCTTTCTTTCAGGTTTCTTAGATGGTGTATAGAGTGGTTTTGGTGCTGACCCAATAGATACAACCTGCAGCAAAGGAAACTGTTAAAAGAAACATGTTTTCATTAACGTAATCTTAAATATACTTTTCACTTTTACACATCTGGCAAAGTATCCACTAACATAATCTAATGCCCCCTTTATTATATGGAGCACTTTTCTCTTCAATATTTATTATTTCTACATCCGGGATTGTTTCAAGGTTACACTTTGCAGCAGCTTTGCAGTTATCTGTGATGATAAGATACTCTAAAGCCATACAGGTGTCTTTTTCACAATTAGCACCTGGGGCATGGACATTGGACATATTGTTAATTAAAAGTGTAGTGTAGGCACTCTGAAACTGTTCTGGTGTTGGATTAACATTGCGGCACCCATGGCTTCTGATGGCCCCGAAAAAGTTTTCAATAGGGTCTTGATTTAGGTGCCGCATTCAAACAGAGGTAATACCATAGCTAGTTTCCATTTTTTTTAAATTTATACCATTCAGTGTCCATACCCAATTTTTAATTGTTGGTACATTTTTATCACTATTTGACGTTTTATTTATAAATTTCATATTATTTAACATAGCTTTAGCTTCATTCCACATCCTATGATGTTCAGAGTTTGGTCTTGCTGGTCCAAGAAGAGGCTTTCCATATCGTTTTTCTTTCTTTACTATAACTTCCATTGACGGAATCAAATACTTTGTCAAAGAAGAGAAGTATTTCAGCAGTTTCCTCACATTCTTTGGGAAGAATGCCTTTTTCTGAAAAACAAAAAGAATTAATCCATTAGTAAACACTAGTATTATCAGAGCACAGCAAGGATTTTGTGACATTTTTCTTTTCGTCCAACAGTAAACTTAATAGGCCAATTAAAGTGTGCTGCTGGACTTGAAACTGTCATGCTTGACCAGGTGGGTTGATAATCGTAGTTTTAGACGTGAGTATCTTTAATGCAGCTTGTCCGTCGTCGATTTGGATATTTTACGTCTGGCGTAAAGGAGATGGTAATACCGCCGACTAAACGGAAGTCATAAGTTTCTTTGATATTTCATCTCTTATGACAGCCACGGGACAAAATGAGGCGATGTGTTCTCTGTTTTATTTACACACAATTTTTATAGATTAAATACATAATTTATTTTAGCCATAAATACATAAAAGATTTAAGGTGAACTAAATAAAAGAACAGAAATTTGATAAATAATGATTTTTTTTTATATTTAATGTTTTATAAAAGTTAGAGTAGAATAGCAACCTTTATCATTTAATTACAATTTTCAGTACTAAATTTACCTAGCCTGTATGTCTGAGAATCTACCAACCAGAATTTGAGTTTAAAGTGACATGATCTTAGCCATACTGCAGCTATAGAAGTAGTATAGTTGTAGCATGAATGGGTCGGCTCGCCCTGGGAAGGACCACACTCTCACATAATACCTAAAATAGCATAGCATAGCGTAAAATAGCAGCCTAAGGCTTCCGTCTAGTTTTGCTGTTTTAGATTCTCAGCCATTGGTCGCTTTTATAATTCGCCGTAAAATCATTTACGCTTTGCGCCCCCAAGTGTGGACGTCATGTTCTCGAAGAGACAGCGACTACTTATTCTTTTATTTATTATATTTACGACGTAAAAAAAGACAAATTACAAGAAGGTATTGGCAATATCCACTTTTAAGAGTAAAATATTTAGAAGGGTCATAATATACGCTATTTGATAAGCTGAAGGAAGACCCAAATAAGTTTTTCAATTATTTTCGGATGATAATAACAACGTTTTATTACATACTTTCTCATCTGAGTGATGATTTGAAAGCTCGCCCAACACATGTATCGTTACCTCCTGAAGAAGCAGTAGCCGTCACGTTGAGGTAAGTAATATGAAAATTGCATAAGTTCCCAGTAGTTTGATTGATTGAACTAGGAGGAAACTTTTGTCCCAACAGTCAATTATAATTTTACGACATAAACTATTGTGACAAATGCTTCTCACTAGTTCTATCAATATAACAGTTATCTAGAAAAGGGCATAAGTAGTAGGATATAGAAGAATAAAAATTACCATATTTATTTTTCATAATAAGAGTTTTAATTCAGTCATGAACTTAGTACCTACAAAAAATAACATCAAACATCGTCGTAAGTTATTGTATTAAAAAGATTTTGATACTCATTTGGTTCCACCTGTTCTATCTCATATATGTACGATGTTTAGTCTTTCTCTTCTGTCACAGCTTGGATGTCGTTGTCTTGTGGTGGTTTATGGATTTGAACATCATGAATAATCACTGACTGGGATGAAGATGGCTGTGGAGCTTTTATCACAAAAGGCGTTTGCAGATTTTGTCTTTGCACTGGGTCTTGTTTGTTTTCCTTGTAATATTGCCTTTCATTGTTAGCTTTAGATTTAGATAGTGGATTTGATGATGGATAAGTAGCAGGGTTGCTTATTTCCTGAACTCGATTTTGTTTAATTTTTTTTATGGAATTTAAAATATCCATTTGTAAATCAATTTTCTCACTCTAGGACATATCGCATAAATATGGAACAAAGGATGTAAAAAAATTATCGTCAGGAGACGTATGTGTCTCTATCTTTTTCAATTCTTCAATTATTTGCGATTCAATGTTTTCTAATTTTCTTTATGACATTGTTACTTTCTTAATATTCTTTTTGTTTGGTGAACGGTTTATATCGTCATCAATATATTCATCATCTGTTTTATCATTTGCTGCATAAGTAATATCTTGCCCAGTTACAGAACTGTCAGTGTTGCTCAGCGACTCTGTAGTATTTTCTTTTTGGCTACATTTCAAGAAAAATTGGATGTGATTGGCATAGACGTATGTTTTTTTTAGCTCCCTGGCCTGACTTTGTTTTTAAGGATTTAAGAAAGGAATCTTTTATATTTATCCATTTCGTTGTAATTTTGTCTCCTAAAACAGTAAAATGGGTTAATAAATAATGAATATTCTGTTTCAGATACCTGGCGACTGGTTCAACATTATCGGATATGTACTACGATTACCGAATTGGCGTTGCAACTCTCAGCCTAATAATACGACACGTTTGTCAGATGATATGGATTTTATAAAAACATCGACATCTACCAAAACCCAGAGAAGAAAACTGGCAAAAGATTGCAAATAGCTTCAAAAAAAATGCTCATTTTCCATTTTGCTTAGGAGCAATCGACGGGAAACATATCAGAGTACAAAATTTTCCACATACAGGTGCATTGCATTATAATTACGAAGGATATTACTCCATTGTACTTATGGCTATATGTGACTCGAATACAAATTTATATATGTCGATACTGGAGTATATGGGAAAGATTGTGATTCTGCCACTTTTCAAAAACGACTTTTTGGAAACTATTGAATAGTCATGATCTTGAAATACCAAACCCCCAGAGTCTGCCACCACAAAAAGTGAAAGTACCATACATTTTTGCCGCAGATGCAGAAAACTAACAAATTCTAAAACCATATTGTGGGCATAATCTGAATGTGAAACAACGAGTCTTTAATTATAGACTTTCTCGAGCGCGACAATACGTTGAATGTGCATTCGGCATACTATGCAACAAATGGCGTATATTGCATCGGCCACTAAATGTGTCAAAAATGTTTAGCATGGATATAGTAAATGCCTGCGTTGTACTACATAATATTGTCAGAGTGTATGATGGATATATGGCAAAAGACAACGTTATCTCAAATAACCAAGATGGATTGACCAGTTTACCCTCAAGTAAAACAATATCAACATACAAATCAGTACGAGGTGTCCGAACATGTTTTGCGAATTATTTTATTTCCAATGTTGGATCTCTGCCCTGGCAATTACAAAAAATATAATCTATTGAACATTTTATTCAGTCAATAAATAAAAAATATCTTACCAACTTGTTTCTTTTCATCAGTAGTTATTTCATCATAAACTGGTTAAACGGCGGGCCTAAGGGTTCCCGAGTTCGATTCCCCGGTCGAGCCTTGGCCCTATTGTGCGAGATGTTATACTAGGTGGACTGTATACGCGGATGGCTTCTTATGCTTCAACAAGATGGCGGATGTGGCACGCGACACCTTGGACAATGCACTCGCTCTTCCAAATCTATTGCTTGCCAAGGTTCGGATGGAATTCTACTTGAGCACATTAGGAGAAACAAAATAGGGCGGGTTAACTAAAAAACAAATGTGATTCTGATCCGGCGGACGACGCTTCCGTTGCAGTGATGTGACGTGAGGTGGATTCTTTTGGGGCGCCCCAAAGATGCGATCCAGGCCAGTGGTACGAAGAAAGAGAGCGGTGCGCGACGATATCTCACACTATGTGTGGCGGTTACTTCTGGAGCGCGACTGCTCCAGGTGGTGCGGTTCAGACTAGCGGCGCGTGGCAAGAGAGCGCTCGAGGGCAGCGCGCGAGCCTATATTGCCTCGGCTTTCCCACCAATGCACCTCGGTCGGGCGCGCGTCTCATTGGTCGAAAGAATCGCGCCACCTTCTAGACTCCCCCCTTTGCCCTTTCAGTGTGTACGGAAGGGACATTAGGTCAAAGGAAGGATAAACACTTGGCAAATATACCCTCGAACAAAATTAAAATACATGAATCGTTTCCGCGTAACCAATAACGTTCTTCCAAGAAGCGGAAGATCTCGTTCCATGCCCTTTGTTTAACAACTTTATCTTTAAAAGCATCCGATGATTTATCCCATAGGAATGGTCTTGTTTCAACAAATTCCAGTAAGGTTACTATATCGTATTTAATCCAGCCAATATTATCTATATCTATAGCCATCTAGCCATCCAGCCAATCCATTTCTGGATTTATACAATATAGATGGTACATATATTTATGTGTAAAAAATAGTAAACACCAGAAGCAAATATACACTTTGAATAATAATATATTATAATATATAAGTTTGCATATACTATAGTGTAATGGTTATCTCCTTGATGGTTTTGGACCATACCTGCGACAGTATCAGATGTTTAAGAAATAGGCAGATTCTTAAGAGATTATAGAGACAGGGTGACAAACGAGCACACAGTCCACCTGATGGTAAGTAACCACTGTAGCCCTAGACATAGACATCTACATTTATCTTCAATAGAGAATGCAGAATAAATGCAGATACGTTGTCACCCCTAAGGACTGAGATGGAATGCCTCGTTTCCAGTAAAAAAGAGTCTCCGGTTCTCTACACTCACCATACGAAACACAGCAGCATTAAGCTGCTATTTAACGCTGTTATTCTGTGAGAGTGTGGCCCCCGGTTGAGCCGACCCATTCGTTATACAACTATACTATTAATATATTTTATTTTATTTTATTTATTTATTCAGGATAACAACAGCTTATTAATACTTAAACAATATTACTTAAATAATTAAACATGAAAAAGCCAATTATAGTTATCCCCAAAGTAGATAACCAAACATAACACTGAAAATCTAATACAATACAAAATAAAATCGGTAAGAACTATTACTAAACAGTAACAAATTAAATTGAAGTAATAATATTACCATCATGATGTACATATATATACAAGTACAGATGTATATACGTACAAAAGACATACATAATTACACTTACAAACACACACATATGAATCTATAAATGCAAATATATTTTGGTGTTATTGTTATTATATAAAATAGATAAAAAATTAAAAAGAGACACTAATATATACATACATACATACACAGATACACATACATACATATATATATACATACACATATATATACATAAATACATACATACATATACATATACTCATAATAACGGTATTAAACGAGGGCACAAATATTAATTTGGGTACTATTTTAATTTCAATTTACTGATTACCTTCAGCTGCATAGAATAAAAACTTGTTAATTTTATTTTTGAAACCACTTTTAGTATTATTAAAAGGATCAATTGCGCTAAATTTTTTGTCGTAAGTTGCTACTAAACGCGTTAGAACATTGTTTTTCCCATAATTGGTCGGGTGAAAGGGGATGTAAAACAAAGAGTTTCTGGTATGTCTGGTACGTTTCAATGGGACATTAAATTTAATGAAAGCCAATAAGTCAGGGCAGTCAATTCCTCCGTGTAATATATCGAATAAAAGCCCCATATCCAGCAGAATACGTCTTTCTTCAAGCATTAACAGACCCTAAAATCTGCAATCGTCTCTATATGAAGAGCCAGAACGTCTAATTTTAAAATTTAGATGGGAAATGAACTTATTTTGAATCCTTTCAATTTTATGTACATATTTAGCATAAAATGGCGACCATAACTGAGAGGCGTACTCTAATATAGATCTTACATATGCGAAATATACTACTTTTAGACTTTGAGGATTAGAGAAAGGAAGACAAGTTCTAGCTACAAATCCCAAATTACGAAACGCTTTACTGCAAATAGCATCAATATGCTCATTCATAGACATACGGGAGTCAAAATATACGCCAAGATCGCGCACCACCGTAGTCCTCTCGATTACAACACCATGGAAATTGTATGAAAAAACTATGGGATTATTTTTCCGCGTAAATGAAATACACTGACACTTACCAACATTTACCGTGATTTTATTAGCGACATAGTAATGGTATAATATATTTAAGTCATTTTGAATTAGTTCACAGTCCTTGATAGTGCGTACACGCAGATATATTTTTTTATCATCAGCATAAAGTAAATGTTGAGAATTTTTTATATATTGACATATATCATAAATATAAGCGTTGTAAAAGAGAGGGCCAAGGTGGGAACCTTGAGGAATACCAGAGGGAACCGTTACGAAATCTGACCTATAACCGCCTAGAACCACAGCTTGAGAGCGGTTAGTCAAATAAGATCTAATCCATCTCAGTAAGTCCCCATGAATGCCGAGGGACTGCAGCTTCTGAAGAAGTATGACGTGATCCACACGGTCGAAGGCTTTTTCAAAGTCGGTGTAGATCACGTCAACTTGACCGCCACCTTCCATTTCATGAAGAACGTAATTAGTGAAATTTGCAAGATTGGAAATAGTAGAACGCTTTTTCAGAAAACCATGTTGCGTACTCGGGATGTGTCTAACTATTGTAGCATAAATTTTATTAAATATAAGTCTCTCAAATATTTTAGCAATTGTACTGAGAATAGAAATTGGACGGTAATTATCAATTTTTGTTTTAGAACCTTTTTTATGAACCGGTATTATATATGCCTTTTTCCAGAGTGTGGGAAACACACATTATCTGAGGGAAAGCTTAAAGAGCAACGCAATTGGATAACTAAGACTCTCGGCGCAGGCTGACAGAAAAACTGGAGGTACTCCATCGTAACCCGCTCCCTTATAGGTGTCTAAGTTTTTCAGACATGTTAGTATAAAATCCTGAGAAACGTCAATTTGAGAGATATCATCACTCCATGACGAAGAGACAGTATTACAAAAGTGTGAACTAGAATCAGTCAAAGGAGAAACAACAAATACACTTTGAAAGAAGGCATTAAAGGCAGAGCAAATATCCTGTCCCTCCTTGTAAATAAAGTTATTTAGGGTAAAATTACGAGGATAATTAGATCTTCCCTTTTTAGACTTAACAAATTTCCAGAAATACTTAGGCGAATTCTTTAAATTTTTCTCAGTATTACGAATAAAGTCATCAAAACATTTTTTTTTGTTCTATGTAGTCTATCCCTGAGAAGTTTAAACTCCTCATAATCACGAGGGTTGTTAAATTTTTTCCATTTTTTGTGTGCCTTAAATTTTTCACGAATTATTTTAATAAGTGCGCGGCTGTACCAACACGGGTAACGATTACTAATTTGGGAAGATAGTGGTACAAATAAAGTAAAACATTCGTGGAGTTTTTCATAAAAAATCTCAACGGCTTGGTCGACTGTATTTGTGTTTAATAATAATTGATCCCAGTCTACTCTTTTTAAAAAGTTATTTATGTTAACATAATTACATTTACGGAAATTGTGTTTTGAGTGAAAATGTTCTTTAAATGGTTTTACAAAAATGTCTTGTATATTAATGGTAAAAGGTGGGTGTAAGGTGTCGACTTTAGACAAA